ACAAAAGATGGATGTGAACGTGCAAAGTGCCTGCAGTACCAAAAATAGATCCATATTTTATTCCTGTCATAACTTTGCTTGAGTTGATGGAGCTGTGCCAAAGCTGAGCATGCCCACAGTCTCTAGGACAGCTGCTGGCAGTAGTAAAGCTTGGGGAGAATGGCTTGGGGAGTACAATTAAGCCCTCTGATTCTGACAGTGTGCGGTGACATTTTAGGGGTATTCACCTCGGCTTGAAGCGATGTTTCTGGGAGGTTGCAGATACATCCTTAGTGCCTGAAAGCTGGGATAGCCTTGATCAAGGTATTYCCAAGCCTTGAGTTCAGCTCCTTCAGCAGTGCTGAATCACCAGACCAGCTAATGAGGTGTTCTAATTGATAGCRTAATTCTACATGGCTTTTCCATTTAGCCTAATGTAATGTTTGGCTTCATWGAGGATGAATATTAACCACAAGTTGAAAGGAAGGTCTGATTCTCTGATCTTTTGCTACATTTCATCAAGCTTTTAATTTTACTTGCAATACCCACACATAATCCATACAGGCATTTTCTTTCCACTTGGGTGTAGAGACCCTGTTCTGTTGTTAGCTGATGGTGTGTGAGCTGTGGAAGTGGTTTCAATGGTTTTAGTGTTCCAGAAGCATTCATCTCATTCATAAAGATCATCTGTTCAAGAGCAGTCAACCCTGGGCTTTTGTTCTGTTTACTGGCTTTGTTTTGGGCAATGTGCTGACTTGCCTACAAGCTCTTGAACCACAGGGCATTCAAATAGTTCCCTCTGATGTGTGAAGTTCTTGAGTTCACAKGAGTCTGCTCACTAAAATTCTGAGAGTATTAAGCCAGTTCTCAACACCAGACACTTGGCACTTGAGCTGACACTGCATGGTGCTAAGCAGCCACAGCTTGAGTCCAAAGCAGTGATACTTTGGGAACTTCAGAATCGGCTGTGTAAGCCAAATCAGTAGGGTTTATTGTGGTTGCATGGTGGTGGTTTTTTCCAAGAGGGGAGTAAAGTGCTTGTTTACAGCTTTTTTCTTCTCCCATTTGGGGAGTGGGTGGATGCTCCCTGGACTACAGGCAGGTAAAGGGAGGATGTTGTGGTCATTCAGGCAAAGATATTCATCAGACTTGGAGCTGCAAGGGAATTCCCCCTGGTCAGAGGCTTATCCAATGTTTCTGGGAAGGAATGAAGCTCTTGCTTTTTGTTTAGATAATTTGCCTCCTTTTTGAGATTACTCCTAGCTCAGGTATAGAAACTGGGGTGACTCAAAACAGGGGGAGGGAAAACTGGTTGGGCTTCTAAAAGAAGATAAGAGAGACAGGCTACCAGATCCCTTTGACTGTCCAAGAGAAGTAGTTTCTCCTAAAAATCATAGCCTTAGATGAAATAAATCCATTTAAAAAAAAAACAAAACAAACAAACAAACAAACAAAAAAAACCCTACCACCAAAAATTGCAAACCAAAACAGAAAACCCAAAAACTAGTCACTTCCAAAGAGCAGATTTGATGTTGCCCATCTTTGCAGATAAAACCTGTAATACGTAATTTATGACCTCATGGTAKGGCTACACTACCACTGGATACAGAAAGTTGCATTTCAGTGCCATTGTGCTGTGCTGATTTGATATATAAAGCAAAATATGTATAACATTTAAAAAAAAAAACCCAGGTTTTAGATGACAAAGGATTATGAAATGCAAACTTTTTTCTTAAATACCTGTTTTTTACTGAATCTATAAAAGAAGCAGTAATTCTAGGCCACTCTTCACATGCATTATCAGGAATTCACATTGAGTTTTGGTGAAGAATGTGTCCATTTTATTGATTTGGCAAAAGAACGGGCAGGATCATAGACTGAGTGCATTCAGAAGAAATCTTCAGTTGGCAGGACTGCACACTGAGGAATCACTAAGACACCCTCAAGTGTCCAAAGGAACTGTGGAATATTGTACTGTATTTTATTCCAGACCTAAAATTAGCCTGGTTTTCAGACCTGGATCTTTTTCAAGATGTTCATCCTGGAGCCCAACCTTCTCTTAGGCAGCAAGGCTGAGCTCTCAGCATGGATGGATGGAAATGGTGCTGGAGCATTTGACACATTTCTGCTCCAAGGACTACCAGTCCTCTCAGATGGTRAATTTGACATTATTTATCGAGGTGTAGGGTTTTGAAATTTTCTCTATAGTTGTCTTTAAGCTGACATTGTGCATGGTTGTGGTAGAACATCAAAAGGTTTATCCTGGTGGCATCTCAGTGAGATGGATGAACAGGGATATGCAATTTCCCATCTGAAACTGGTGGATAAAGAGATTGGGATGACAGCAGTTACTTTAAAAAACAGCTACCATAAAATTTACCCTTTTCTAGTTTCTGCAAAATGGCCTGCAGAACTGGTACATGTGAAAGTAGATGTGCTGAAAAATCCCAGGAACAAGATCCCAGAATTCAAGATGTGATCTCCATGTGGGGACTTGGATGACATTTCACACTGCAGCATTGAGGAAGAACAGAACTTTATCATGAGTAGAGCTCAATTTCTGACTTTAATTTTCAATTCTGCCACTCAGTCACTTGGATAAGTCATTGCAGATGACCTCTGCAGAAGGATCCAGCAATGCTGTCTTCATCCTGGACACACCTACAATACAATCCAAAAATAATGCCTCATTTTTTTTTTGTCTGGAAGGGTMTCAGATCTAAAATCCTGAGGTCTGGAAATCTGAAACTGTCTCATAAGTGAGGGTTTTAAATAGACAGGCCCCAGCTCCCCTTGCCATGAGTGACTGAGCATGATTGAGCCCTCCTTCCCTGACAACTACCCACAGCCTGGATGGGGCAGTGGGGCTCGGCTTCCTCCATCCTGCTGAAGAGCTGTGTAGTTTAGATGCTGACCCAGTGTGTGTTTCAGACACACCAAGTGCAGGTTCATTGCTTCTCTGGATGAGCCACTCCTGGAAATGTCCAAGGCCAGGTTGGAAGGGGCTTTGGAAGGTGTCCCTGCCCATGGCRGGGACTTGGAACGGGATGATCTTTACGATCCTTTCCAACCCAACCCACTCTGTCTTTGCTGGGATCACTCTTATCCTTGCCAGCCAGGCAGTGGGGCAGGGATTCAGTATTTGGGTAGTGGATGAGGTGAGAATGAGGAGCTGAAAGAAGCGGCCCTCAGGAAATAAAGTGACAATAGGAGCAATAGTGATTTAAATGCATCTTTCTCTTCCATGTCTCATGTTGCTTTTGTGAGTAATCTGAGGCACCCTCCCTGTAATCACACAACTGTTAAGGTTGGAAAAGACCTCCAAGATGAAGCCCAACTCTTAACCCAGCACTGCCATAATCACCACTAAACCATGTCCACAAGAGCCACATCCACATGTTTTTTWAACACTTCCCTGAGCGGCCCGTTCCTATGCCTCGCAATCCTTTCRSTGAAGAAATTTTTCCTAATATCCCATTATCTAAACCATCTGAAAACTGGGTGCTGTGGCACCTTACGTGCTGGTGCTGAGCCCCCATAGAGTCTGAAGGCATCTCTGGGTGCCGTGATTTCCAGGTGGAATCCTCCTCCGGCCGGGATGCTGCAGGTGTGGGCAGGAACAGGGACTGCAGTGTGTCAGGATGAGCACGAACGGGGGACCCAGCGCTGGTGAGGGATCCTGACCCACTCAGAGCAGCGTGACGAGGGACCCGCCACACCGAAAGCCTCCCCCGAGCCAAGCGCTGCTATAATAGGGCCGGATTACTCACTGCGCTTATTCAAATTCCTGTTGATGCTGGCAGCGGGAGTTTTTCCCGAACAGCCACGAACAATGAGTCACCTCCAGGTGTTTTGATTTGAATTTGTTTTTTCAAATTTCAAAAAGAAGCCGGTCCGGCGCCTCGCCCCCCGGAGCATCCCTGCAGCCCCGGCCGCGGGGAGCGAGACCGCTCCTCCCCCTGCGGAGAGACGGAGCGCGCTTTCTCCGTTCTTTATTTATTTATTTTTTTTTGTTCTGCTGGCGGCGGGCAGGACCAATCCGGGGCCCGCCCTACCCGCTCCCTCCCTCATTTCCCTCCCTCCTCCCGGTGCCGTTCCCCCCGGGCCGCTCCGAGCAGCGCCGGCCGGGAGCCCGCTCCGCTCCGCTCCGCTCCGCCGAAAGGATTGCGGGAGGGAACATGAGCTGCCGCCTGCTTTCCCTTCCCTCGCACAGCTCGATCGCTTGCATTTTTTGATTTCCCACCTCCCCCCCTCCTTCCAGCTTTTTATGCTCAGCACTGGGGGAGCCGGGAAATTTGGTGGCCGCTGACGTATTTTGATTTAAAATCGCTGTCAGTGGACGTTTCTCCTTTCTGCTCCGGCATCGTTGTCCTGTTCACAGCTATTTAGGCTTAAGAAGCTTGATTCTCTAAGGCTCGTATCCAAGGGCATCAGTCATTAACACACTGAGCTACATCTGCTTCTTGGCTAAGGCTGAAGAAAGACGTCTTAAGCTGGAAATCTGCTCGCTCACTCTCTAGTGCGTACGGAAGGGGAAGCATATGCAGCAGCAGGTTCCTTTTTTTTTTTTTTTTTTTTTTTTTTTTTTTTTTCATTCCAAAGGCTGCCTGACTTTGGAGATGCAGTGACGAGATAATGGAGTGAAAGTCTCATTTCCAGGCAAGAAAATTACAGGAGTCAGATAGAGAAAGGAAAGGAGCAAGTTACATAGCAGAAATAGGAAAGAGGACAGTGGTACGACTGAGAATAAAATTAGAGGAAACAGGTGGAAGGCTGGCATAAAGCTGGAAGATATTTTAGACTGAAAGTGGTGTGGTGTTTTTTTCTTATTTCCTTTCCCTTTTTTTTTCCTAAAGGGTTTTTTTTTTTTTTTTTTTTTTTTTTTTTTTTTTTTTTTTTTTTTTTTTTTTTTTTTTTTTTTTTTTTTTTTTTTTTTTTTAATTGGCTTTATTGCTGATTTTAAATTCTAAGCTGATTTTGGAGATCTCTGCAGTAAACCAGGCTGCTTTAGAGTAGAACAGCTTCCCCAACGTGTCCTTTTCTCTCTCCCTGCCTGCTGTCTCTACTGTTGCTGCTGCTGCTGACAGAAACGTGTTAGGAAAGCAGAAAGAGAAAATGCCAGCCATCCTGGTAGCCTCCAAAATGAAATCGGGACTACCTAAACCCGTCCACAGCGCTGCTCCAATCCTGCATGTTCCAACGGCCAGGACCATCCCACAGCCCTGTTACCTGAAGTTTGGGAACAAGGTGGAGGTGACGAAGCCATTGTATTCCAGCCAGATTCCTCTCAAATCTTCCAGTGGACAAGAAAATGCAGGAGATGGYCTCCCATCAAGGAAGAGTAGCTCGGTAGAAAATGGATTTGACACACAGGTTAGCAGGCACCAAATGCTGGGGAGGTGTCGGTGGGAATTTATTTCTTGTTGAGAGCGTGCAGCAGGTTTTCTGGGGTAAATAGCCCCGGGAGAAGGGCTGTGCATGTGTGTGTGCTAACATCTGCCTGCAGCGGCGGGATGTTTTATGTTCCACGTAGTGGCATGTGCGATTTTGTCAGTGTGATAGAGCTGCTGATGGGGTGCTGAGGGATGGGGTTGCGTGTGCTGCTCGCCTGTGCTGCCTTGGCTTGAGCTCGGGGGGGATTTTCACGAGGGAGACGGTGGAGATGTCGCTTGTGGGGTGTGTTCTTTGTGTGCTTTCTGCAGGTGCTAAGTGGAGGGGCTGGGTGGTGTGCCCGGGCTGCGGGGAGATCGCTGGTTGCCGTGAGCGTGTTGTGTGTTCGGGCACTCATTGTACCCGAGCGGTGGCTGTGTGAACATTCAGTGTCTGGAGCCGTGTGGGGACTGAATGGGAGGCAGTACTTGATGCTGGATTACAATGTGCATGACATCCAGGGCAGCTGAATTAAACCGATTATGTAGGAAATGAACACTTCAGTGGTATTGCCTGTATCATCCATACGTGCATGACATCATAGATGCAGCCCAGCATCAACGCACACCTTTTAGATTTCCCTTTTATCGGCACTAGTCTTGTAATGGATTTTTCATGTGCTGCTCGCAGCGTGGGGAGGAGAGCGGCTCCTCAGGCGGTTTAATGTGTGTGGGCAGGGTGATGCTGGCAGCGTGGCCGGGGCTGCCCTGCCCGCTGTGCCCGCCGTGYCCGCAGCAGCGTGGGCACGGTGTCGCTGCGCTCCGGAGGGAGCAGAGCGCAGGGGTTGCTGCGGCGAGCACCACTCATGGCTGTGATGCAGAGGTGGCTCTACAGCCCTGCCATGTGTTTTGACAACAGCCGCATACATTACACGCTGCTCCTGCCGCTGYGTGAGCCCGCTGAAAGGTGATACCATTGTGCTGAGATAGGGAGATGATGACACTCACCTGGTTTCTTCCTTTTCCGAGGAATAATGGATCATCCCTACCACCTAGATTCTGAAATGGGTGGCCTGGTAACCCTGTTCCCTTCAGACGAGTTCGCCTACTGATTGGGCTTGTTTGACCGCGTGCCCTGATTTCAGGATGCGCTGCGCTCTCCGTGCCGGCAGACAGGGTGACGTACCGGGCTGCTCAGACCAGACAGATRCGACTGGARCAGTTCCTGAGGGACTGAGGGCAGGGAAAGGAGACAGCCAGGCATTGATGCAGGGTAGTGGCAGCAGACAGACCAACCTGTGCGTCGCATCTCGCCCTTACGAGAGRATCAAGCGCTCTCTCTCCCTTGTGCCTCAGTCTGCCCTTGTCATCGTGAAACGGCGGAAAAATCACATTATCTGCTGCCCTTTCTCTCACACGTGCCATGGTTTCTGCATGGAAACCTACATTTCTGAGGAAGTGTTTGTTATTCAGAAATACTTTCTCATCTTGTAACAGATCATGCTCACACAGATGCTGCCGGTGGGAGCCGTTTGCAGAAGGAAGGGCAACACTRTGGTGGTTTTAACCCTTACAATGACGTGGAGCAAACCCCATTTTTTTATCATGGTGGTGAAAGGGTCTTGATGCTAACTTACTCTATTTAAACAGGGAGTGATTTTGGTCGAAGGAATGTCAGATAGTTTTACATTTTTAATTACTTCAGCAGCAGGAGAAGCCTTAGGCTTTGCATTCTCAATAACCTGCTCTGGCTGGCAGACTGAGCAGATGACCAGCATCTTTTAAGGTGTGAACCAGTGAGGCTTTTTTCTCTATCCAYTATCTTGAATAAAAGCAGTCATTTTTTTGTTGTTCCTATTGATCCAGCTTTGATCCTTCTGCTCACAAAAGCTGCTGGGTTTTGCCCTTCCAGGTGGCCATTTGGAACATCAGTCTGTATCTAGAGGGAGATATTTCCAGATGTGTCATATCAAGGGCACTGTTCTTTCCTTTTCCTGCTATTCCTCCCTGCCAGGGGAGGAGGAACAGGATGGTTGGACAGCTGCCAGGTGATGTGTCAGCACTGAAGCGCTCTTATCTTGGAAGACCTTCAGCTGCACTCAGGTATAGAAGTGCTTTCAGATAACAAACCTGGCAAGGTTTAGTCTTGAGCACTGCTCCAGGTCTGAATATCTTGAGAATCTGAGGGTGATCCCTTTGCTTCTCTGGGTGGTTTATCTCAAGCACCAATGTGGCCCTCACCATTTTACTGTGCAGGCACCTGGCATCACCTGTGAGAGAGGGAAGTTATGTTCTTACACTAGAATTTAGGGTTTAAATCCACAAGTTGGACTAATGCCAAATGTTTTGGCACCCGTCTTCTGTAGGTCTTTGTCCCTGTGTKGAAGGACATCATATCCTTGTGTGGGTGGAGGGAGAATGAGAGAGGGATTGTGTCACTTGCATCAATTCTCCTGCWTCTGGGAGTATTTCAGGGAGTTGTTCTTAATCCCATTGAAGTAGGTCCTTTTTGCACTGCATGATACAGAATTTAGTGGCTTAGTYGACTGATTATTCTGAAGGAGAGGCTGTGTGTAGGGCACAGTCCAAAAGCCACCATGTGAGGATACCAGAGCATGTTCTCCTGCTGGTTTAGCATATTTTAAGTAATTTACACACCACTGGAAAGCTTTGTGAGCTTTTTTTTTGGTGTCAGATGGTGCCTTTCTACATGAATCTACCTGATTCTACAGAGAACATGAGCACTGCAGGTGGTGTTCATTAAAGAACAATTTTTTTTTAAACTGCTGAAAATCAAGATGTCCCACTCACCAATGTGGTATCAGTGAAAACCTGTAAAGGTTTTGCTAATTTTGTTCCTCTTGTTTTACATGTGTAAGCTGGATTTTATAGTAACTGGAAATTTTGTGCTTTAAAGCCTTATAAGGACAGTGTGTTATTTAAAATGCTGTGCAATTTATAAAAAGCATACTTCAGGGCATTTCAGAGGCACTTTCCAAAGAAAGGTCTGAGGGTTTTAGCATCAAGCCCATTGTAAATGCTCACTGGAAATCTTAGGTCGATGAATCATGGCACTATCATTCCTATTTTATTGTTCCTGATGTTTGCTGCATTTTTCCATATTAAATCCCCTGTGCTGTGCATAACAGTATCCGACTGGTGCACTGGTGCTTATTTTGTCCAGTTTGAAAACACCGCCAATAAACCGTACCCATATTTAGAGAGAATTGTTTTGGAAATATTTAACTTTGTTACCAGAGAAACTTCTGTGGAGTAGATCACACGACTGTGATCTCTCATCTACAACATGGTGTTTCTCAGTCATTCTGAACAAGCCAGATGCATTTGGCTACTGCATTTGCATTAAATACTTCAGATAGAAGTCACTGCCAGTTAGGAGTCCATGGTATAATGTTAGTGCAGATGCAAGAAGGAAGATGCCATTGCAGGCATCCAGTCTGCTGCCATCTTACTGTGAATGTCACTGAAGGAGATTGTGGRTTTAATGACTCTGTTTATTGCTGATGTGTTTTATTCTCCAGCTTCTTGATTTGCTTTCTCCTAAGAATCTAAAAAATAATTGCTGTTTGTATCTTCAACAAGTAACTGAAGCAGCACTAAAGGCACTGGGACCTTGCGAAATGGTTGGTGCCACCCTTCCACTGAAACACTCAAGTTAGGAGGCGTGTTTAACCTGGGTTTCAAGTATGTGTGCTCAGCAGTTCCCTGTAGTTGTGCTGAGTTCGGCAGCCAGGGGTGGGGGTAGGTCTTGTTATTTCTTTGCAAACTTCCTTGCAGTGTTCATTTGCTGAAAACCAGGTGGTTGCCCTCTCGTGGTGGGCATGGAGGGCAGGTGCTCACTGGGTGTGATGTTCTCCCTCACTTTTGTCTTTCCCTCTTTGGTTTCCCTAGACCTTTTTGTTTTAAAATTATTCGGTTAAAAACTGGGTACATATCATTGTCTGAAATCAAGCTACCTTGCTCAGCTAGGTTTTTCTTCATCTTGCTTTCCCAGTTTGTGAAGATCTTGTTGAGTTGGGCAGCCTGGATCTGGTGTTCCAGATCTCCCTATTTTCTAGTCTTACATTAGATTTTTCTTCCAGTGATTTAGTTATTTCCTAATTCATGAAGATCATCTACATCTGGGGTATGCTCCAAAAACATTTGCTACACCTGTTGAGGATAAAAACACCTCTGTTTTTTTCCTCATTGCCCATTCTGTAGTCCCAAGTAATGATAAGGATATGGAAACTTCATTGCAGTTCCCTGCAATTCAATCTAGTGGATAGCCATTCCCAGGCTGATGGTGCACTGCTGGCACATTCCAGGGARTTCTTCAGTCAGCTCTCAAACTGATTCATTTAATAGGTTCTTCCAGTGTTTTTCCACCCTTCAAATGTAGGCTCCCATCAACTGTTTGATGAGCCACACGTGCCCCATGATCTGCTGGCTCTGGRTTTCCCTGCTCTGCCTCACTCCCCTCGTGCCCATTCCATTAGCAATCCAAATGAAGCCACGTAGTTCAGATATTAGTAATTACTTTTCTATATTTTAATTAACTTTACCAGGAGCYGTTTAAACCTCCATATCACTGTCCTGCTAATGTGAAGCTTCATAGAGAGRAAGATTAATGGAGCATATTGCAGARAAATKATGCCTTCCCTTCTCACATGCTTTAGCCATTTTTGTGTGTGATGCTGGCTTTCACAGTTCTGATGCTGAACCAGCTTGCAGAAGGSATAGGGATCAAGCAAATCTTTATCTGGACCCAGTTTAAAGTCAGATGAACATCGATTGGTTTCAGTGCCATTGCGTGAGCTGCCTTGGTGGTGTGAAATTCGGTCTGGCTATGACTGCTGAGCTAATTATAAACGAGATTATGAGAAATGTGGTCAGTCATACTGATAACTTCAGCATAAAAGAGCATGTTTTGCAGTTGGAAAAAACCAACTGGGGTTGCGTTTAGGATGTGAACAAAGAATCAGTTTTACTGAAGAGCTGGGA